CACAGAGAAAATAATGGTTGGGTCGGCGGTTAAGTAGTGAAGATCCTTTGCAGAGATGACTGCGTATTTCTCTTGAATCAACAACGAGTCTTTATTTCAAATCCTTATTAATTCATATTGAGAATAAGTGGGTGTGATTACAATATGAGAATAGCTGCTTATAAGGTCCTTATAAAACTGACAGTATTTTCACAGCTGCAAGAGAAATTTACATATCAGTTTTCTTCATATAAAGTGGAAATTGCATAGAAATTGACTGGATGTGCAACTTTCTCACAGCTATATCTATGATTTGTACACAGGATAAAGCCTTTACAAATTTGTTACCGGATGTACGCATCTCTCAACATCAAAGCATTTTTAAACGACTTGAAGGTTAGATGACTCTTAACTCTGGTTATGGGAAACGCTTTATGTTTCCTTGTGTAATGTGATGAATCGTTTGTCTAGAAAATACCACAAATACCTTATATTTTAACATACAATTTTCTTCGGCTTTTTCGAAATGAGCAATTTCGTTTTCACAAGGGATAATGAAAATATGATTGAACGAGTTAAAACAAAGGACATTTACTATAATTTATTTTGACCAATGATGATTTGTCTGACGATTTTGTAATATGATCAACAAACCAAAATTTCCTTCGTATGGATTTATGGCCCGAGATATTTTTATAAGACGTAATACTTTTAAATTTCAACGTACTTTTATATTATAAAAATATTTCGTGGTTTCACGACAGCGCTTGTGCTGCAAAATTCTAGCATATTGTTGGGAATATTTTCTACACATAAATTTTTCTATATCTAAAGTGATGAGTCATTTATCTAATTTTCAAATCGTGTGAAAATGTCCTAATCTTACAATAAACTAATAGTGGGAACGTTGACCACATCGGGTAACTCATACACATGTAAATTCTTCTTGCCAGAGAATTAATCATATGTAAATTAGTTGTATATAGCTGTTGGAATATTGTAAAGATTTTACATGAAGCTCAACAGCTTACTGTAAAGGTCTCGTATGTAGCTGTTTGCGTAAGTAGATACATCCACTCTATAAGACCTAGAAACTAGAGACGCACTTCTCACTTATAATCACCAACGTCGTCGTCCCACGTTGTCGGGGAAGGTAGATTGATTGCTCAGTGAGCAGGCTATCGATGTTAAAGTTTATTTAGAGTAAAAAATATATGATGATAGCTCAACCAAAAACTGAAATGCAATTCAGATAATTGAATTATATTGTAGCAGTGAGGATTAGAAGGTTGACGGAGTTGACGGAGAAAATGTTGATCCGTAAGTGAAAAAAGAGTGGTGACGCTTTGACCTCATTTTTGGCGCTTGTATAATGATTGTATGATCTTTAAAACATTTAAACAAAGGCATGTACGACCTTTACAATAATGGTGTATAAGATTGTTAAATTAGTAAAGAGCGATATGTGAGATCAAAGGCGTATAATATTGTTACAGTATTGTTACAACAGTATGACATATCTGACCTTTACAGTATTTAGGGCGTGCAAGATTGTTACAATTATATACAGTGGCGTGTATGATCTGTACAGTATTTAAGAAAGCAATATATTTAAAGTATGAAAAATTTCTCAATTTTCCGACAACTGTATCAAATCTCCTAATCATTGCTACTACCGTTTCATCCAATTGTTTGAATCATATTCGAATTTCTGCTTCGAACTGTTGTTATGTATCAACAAGGAATAAACCTTACTATCGATAGACCTGTTTACTGTACAATCAACCAATTTCACGATAACATTATCACATTCTCATATCTTACACTGTAAAAAGAAAATTGGGTAATCCTCACGGATGTCTCGTGGAAGTTGAGTCGTGTCAGAGTTTTGTTGGTTGGCAACTACGAATGGTTATGCGAAAGGTTTGTAGATTTAAGATTTTTTTATGGGGAATAAATAAATATTAGTAAATAATATAAATCGCCGATTCTCTTCAACCGTAACAAAAATTGAGGATTCTTTCTGCTTCTTTAGTTGATAGTACCTCAAAGTTGAGTAATTAAATCCTTGTTACGATAAATTTATTAATACAACAACGAACTTGTAACTACGACATCAATACAACAAATTAACAACGAAAACACTATGAACAAAAACGACTAAATCATGCCCGGTACCTTATATCCAACCGACCTCAATGAAATACATTTGTAAAAATGAATTGGTGTTTAGGAGCCTCCGTTTCTTCGACTGGGAGAGTCCTTGTATCGTTTTACGATTACAAGAATTAGCATCCTTATGGAATACTCATTGGTATAGGGTTCTTTGTTAGCACAAACGTCAGACGATAGAAGCCTATAAAACAAAGATGTCTGGTTTTCAAAAAAAAGGGATTATTGTTCCTTTGTTTCTGCTCGCGATATCAGCGAAAGAAGTAATAAAAAGATGTTAACGAATAACAAAATCGAAATCGATCATTATTTGGTTAGTTTTGAAGTCCTTGTAGAGATCCATTTAGGATTTGCAGTGTGTTAGTAGTTGTAGAATGATCAATATGAAAATGAATTTGTAGGGAACTGCTAAATTGTAGAATGGATTTCTTTACTGCTTATTCGTATTCTTCATATAGTGAGAGTTTGTATACAACAATCCAAAAGATTAGAACCGATTAATTCCAAGATAAGCTGAAATCCTTTACAATATGCCGACATTGATCAGTGATTCTTTACAGTATATACCAACATCTCAAATTAATTATCAACATTTGATGTCGATTTATAGCATGAATTAAGCTATACATCTTTACAATGTCGATATTATTTTTATACACTAATATTTTGATTTTTACATATAATGTATATAATAAATAAAATTAAATTGTCTTCGTTAGATGAAAGAAGTTAGGTAGTAGGTAAAAGGTCAAAGAGGTCAGGGAGTAGGAGTATTCATTGTATACGATCGTGCAACATACGAGAAGAAAATATGATCGTGTCACTTTATTTTTATTAGCATATTCAACGATTAATGCATTATTGTCCATCAAGCCAAGAATATAAAATAGCTTCGTAAAGTCATGAAATACTGAAAATTTTCAAATTTTGAATAGTGGAAACTTTTTAATTTGTTATTTAAATTAATTATGTGTAATATTGAAAATGTTATATTTTTGAATTATTTCCATTGCTTACTTTTTTTTTTTGTTCGCTGTTTGAAATTAAATAATCTTTTTTTTTTCGTTTATCATCAATAGTTTACCTATTATATATTTGTGTTTATTCTAATTTAACCATTTCTAAAGAATAGACCTCGTTAATCGATTGCATAATATTTTTTGAATATTCAAAAAGTGGAAAAATAAAAGTAATTTATTCCTATAAATGAAAAGGAAGTAACTGAATAATTAGAACTTATTATTGCATGTTAAGGAAAAGGAAAAACATTTCTATCTTATATTTCACATTTTACATAAATCTTCCTAATTAATATTCAATACATTTGATTTGATTAATTAACTATTATTAGATAAAACTAATACAATGCAAAGCAGATGATTTTTATCGGAATATTTCAAGCAATTCTTTTTTCTTTGTTCATAAAAATTTTTCAAAAATATTTTTATTTTTTAATCTCTTTCCAATTCATTCATCAATGACATCGCCATTTCTTTCGATACAATCGGATAACTTGCTGCACTTGCTATACCGCACATATTATCTTTATTTCGTGCCAGCCGGAAATATCCATCTTCACCCCAATCTTTACCCCAACTAAATGTATAAGAATTAAATTAATGATAATCAGGTAATAATTTAAAATAGTGTATAAGAATTAAATTAATGATAATCAGGTAATAATTTAAAATAGTTTTGTTTTTGTATGGTTAAATTTTTTATTCCAAATTTTAATCATTTTAACTTTCTTCAAGCGAAACAATCAATAATTGGAATTATTCGAGCATTTTTATTAGAGAAGCAGTGGATGCTTGTTAAAAATTTCATACCTGTTTTTAACAATCCAGTAATCAAGATCTTCCACAGTACCATTCTCTCTTTTCACCTTTTCATTTCCGTAACCTACCACCAAAACCCATGATCTAATTCATCGGGTGAGCACGATTTATGCGTGAAAATACCTCAATTTTTATTATTTGATGAAAATTAAATTTACATACGTAGTTAAAAAAAAAAAAAAAAAAAAAGATATTTATTGTGTTTAATTATAACAGTAATTAACCTTCTTCGTATGAGCTTAAATATCTTGCATTCATTGCTACTGATATTGGTCCAATTTTAGCTACCGCTCTTTGAAGTTGCATTTCATCACCTTCTGGCAAATCAACTTCACCATTATCAGTTGAAACTCGGGTTCGATTCGAATAACGACATGGGCCTTCTTTTGCTTCATATGGATATGCTGATTCCGAATCAATCCCACCATTCTCTTTTATATAATCAAATGCCTGATAAAAATTTTAATAAATTTAAAATCATTTTGTTCAACTGATCCATTAATTAATTTAATCGAATCAGCAATTAATTAAATTTATGAAATTGTCAGAATTTATGATTTATATGCGTTTCCTCTCTTCAATTTATAATCATAATATGAAATAATTAAAATAATGAAAAATTGATTGCATACATAATCCATAAGGCCACCACTGCATCCAGAATTACCATAATCCTCGCTACAATCCAATAAATTTTGCTCTGAAAGTGAAATCAAACGACCTGTTCGTCGATAATGTTGCCCTTCCAGTGCTCCTGTCGAACTAAATGCCCAACAACTTCCACATCTACCCTATAAAACATTAACTTTCAAAAAAAAAAAAAAGGCTTTAAAAGTTTTTAAAAGATTTTTAAACAGACTTCCATGTACCATTGATTTCATTTTATAATATATTATAAATTATAAGTTTTCTTTTTACAAAAAAAAAGCGAAACAGTTCGCATTAATTTAAAATGTATTCATTACATTATTTATTTTATAAAAAAAAAAAGTTTTTTTTTCATAACAACCTGATCTTTCACTGGTGTAACAGCACCCTTAATACGCCAATCAACTTTTTCCGGTAATCTACTATTAGCTGATAATAGGATCACATTTTTTTTTCCAAACAATAATTGTTTCTTCTCATAGCGATAACCATTTACTTCTTTCGTTTCTTCAGGTAGCTTAAAATTATATTACAAATTAATCGACTATTATTTTCCGGCTAATTTATAAATTTTTTTTTCATGAAATTTTATTCTCATGAAAAAAAAAAGCATTGTATATAAGTTTAGAAATTATAGGATATAAAATTGAAAATAATTTATGTTAAAATGAAAAAAATAGAAAATAAAAATATACCAAAAAAGAAAAGTTCATTTTTGGGATGTGTTTTTATTGGTAAAACAAGATGAACAATTATTTTGGAAATATTTGTTTGTTTGAATTTATTTCCAAATGCATTTTGCTGTTTATAATTAAAATTATATTAATTATAGTTGGATTAATTAGGAAGTTTATGATTACAGGAAAATTTTGATACAGCAAGATTGCATTAATTAAAATTGGAATTCGGCTAATTGATTTTTTTTTTTTTGAAATTTTCAGATACGTTTTTGTGTGCATATTTAACAATAAGTTTTATGCATAAAGAGAAGTTTTGATGTAATACGATTATTTAATTAGTATTAAATTAATTAAGATGAAAAGAATTATAGCATTTTAACCATATCTGCGAATTTATTGATGCCCATTTTGTATGTTTCTTCACCACGTTCATAGCGTTCATTATGTTGACGAATTTTTTCAACATTTTGAAGAAATATCATATATCGACGATATTCCAAGTTCGATTCACTATTAGGTTTATCTTTAAAAATATAAAATTTAAAAAGGTATGATACGGTAATGAGAGAATGAAATGAATACACATTTATTTGATTTGTTAAATAAATCCGTAATGCAATTAAATAATCGTCGTTTTATAATAATTATAAGATTATTTTAAAATTATTTCAATATTAACTAATTATGATTGTTCATGAATAAATATGTGTGAATTTAAAGTTGGCAAAATTAAACTTTGAATAATATTAATTCAACAAAAATTAAATAAATAAATAAAAACATTAAAGCGTTAAAACAACAAAAATTACGATTGATAATTAACAAAAAAAAAAAAAAAAAAAATTACTTTGCAAAAAGTTCAATTTTTCCTATCAAATTTTTTTGTTATAACTTAATTTTAATTAATCATTTTTTATCAAATATTATTTACAAATTACTTATTCATTACTCATTATACATAAATTGTTTTTGTAGTTTACAGATTACTGTATCATATCATATAGATAATTTCTTATTCATTACTCATTATATGTGAACTGTTTTTGTAGTTTACAGATTACTGTATCATATCATATAGATAATTTTCAAAACTTTTTTTTT